ACAGGGATAATTCCTATAATGTGATGTATAGTTGAAATGAAATTCTCACTACTCGCAATTAGAGGGATTCATGTCCACGGTTTTGTTCGAGTGTTCATTCGTTGTTGTCATTGGTGTTGTTTTCAGGTGTAAATGTAACTCTCTGGCTTTTATGGTTTTTGTTTTGTATGTGTGCGTGTGTGCGTGTGTGTGTGTTAGTGTTAGTGTGTGCTAGTGTTGGTGTGTGTTTGCGGATAGTGAGGTAGATGATGGGGTTGGTGTATTCTGAACGGATACATGGTTACAGATGGCGGGTGCTGAGGTAGGTGATGGGGTGGGTGTATTCTGAACGGATACATTGTTACAGATGGCGGGTGCTGAGGTAGGTGATGGGGTGGGTGTATTCTGAACGGATACATTGTTACAGATGGCGGGTGCTGAGGTAGGTGATTGGGTGGGTGTATTCTGAACGGATACATTGTTACAGATGGCGGGTGTTGTGGTAGATGATGGGATGGTGGTAGTCAGAACGGATACATGGTTACAGATGACGGGTGCTGAGGTAGATGATGGGGTGGGTGTATTCTGAACGGATACATGGTTACAGATGGCGGGTGCTGAGGTAGGTGATGGGGTGGGTGTATTCTGAACGGATACATGGTTACAGATGGCGGGTGCTGAGGTAGGTGATGGGGTGGGTGTATTCTGAACGGATACATTGTTACAGATGGCGGGTGTTGTGGTAGATGATGGGATGGTTGTAGTCAGAACGGATACATGGTTACAGATGGCGGGTGATTTGGTAGATGATGGGGTGGGTGTATTCTGAACGGATACATGGTTACAGATGGCGGGTGATTTGGTAGATGATGGGATGGTTGTAGTCAGAACGGATACATGGTTACAGATGGCGGGTGATTTGGTAGATGATGGGGTGGGTGTATTCTGAACGGATACATGGTTACAGATGGCGGGTGCTGAGGTAGGTGATGGGGTGGGTGTATTCTGAACGGATACATGGTTACAGATGACGGGTGTTGTGGTAGATGATTGGATCGTGGTAGTCAGGACGGATACATGGTTACAGATGACGGGTGGTGAGGTAGATGATCGGATGGTGGTAGTCAGAACGGATACATGGTTACAGATGGCGGGTGTTGTGGTAGATGATGGGATGGTGGTAGTCAGAACGGATACATGGTTACAGATGACGGGTAGTGAGGTAGATGATCGGATGGTGGTAGTCAGAACGGATACATGGTTACAGATGACGGGTGTTGTGGTAGATGATTGGATCGTGGTAGTCAGGACGGATACATGGTTACAGATGGCGGGTGCTGAGGTAGGTGATGGGGTGGGTGTATTCTGAACGGATACATTGTTACAGATGGCGGGTGTTGTGGTAGATGATGGGATGGTTGTAGTCAGAACGGATACATTGTTACAGATGGCGGGTGTTGAGGTAGGTGATGGGGTGGGTGTATTCAGAACGGATACATGGTTACAGATGGCGGGTGTTGTGGTAGATGATGGGATGGTGGTAGTCAGAACGGATGCATGGTTACAGATGGCGGGTGTTGTGGTAGATGATTGGATGGTGGTAGTCAGAACGGATACATGGTTACAGATGGCGGGTGATTTGGTAGATGATGGGGTGGGTGTATTCTGAACGGATACATGGTTACAGATGGCGGGTGTTGTGGTAGATGATGGGATCGTGGTAGTCAGAACGGATACATGGTTACAGATGGCGGGTGTTGTGGTAGATGATGGGATGGTGGTAGTCAGAACGGATACATGGTTACAGATGACGGGTGTTGTGGTAGATGATTGGATGGTGGTAGTCAGGACGGATACATGGTTACAGATGGCGGGTGTTGTGGTAGATGATGGGATGGTGGTAGTCAGAACGGATACATGGTTACAGATGGCGGGTGTTGTGGTAGATGATGGGATGGTGGTAGTCAGAACGGATACATGGTTACAGATGACGGGTGTTGTGGTAGATGATGGGATGGTGGTCGTAAGAACGGATACATGGTTACAGATGGCGGGTGTTGTGGTAGATGATGGGATGGTGGTAGTCAGAACGGATACATGGTTACAGATGGCGGGTGTTGTGGTAGATGATGGGATGGTGGTAGTCAGGACGGATACATGGTTACAGATGGCGGGTGTTGTGGTAGATGATGGGATGGTGGTAGTCAGAACGGATACATGGTTACAGATGACGGGTGTTGTGGTAGATGATGGGATGGTGGTAGTCAGAACGGATACATGGTTACAGATGACGGGTGTTGTGGTAGATGATTGGATCGTGGTAGTCAGGACGGATACATGGTTACAGATGGCGGGTGTTGTGGTAGATGATGGGATGGTGGTAGTCAGAACGGATACATGGTTACAGATGACGGGTGTTGTGGTAGATGATTGGATCGTGGTAGCCAGTACGGATACATGGTTACAGACGGCGGATGGTGAGCTAGATGATGGGTTGGGTTGTTTGATGGGAGGGTTGCTTGATTGGGTAGTGTATTCTGAACGAAAACATGTTTATAGATGTCGAGTGTTAAGGTAGATAGGTTGATGGGGTGGGTTGTTTGATGGAGTGGGTCGTTTGATGGGGTTGGTGTATTCGGGGCGGGTACACGGTTACAGATAGCGAGTGAGGTTAGTAAGGGGGTGGGTTGTGAGATGGGGTTGGTGTATTCGGGGCGGGTACATGGTTACAGAAAGCGAGTGAGGTTAGTAAGGGGGTGGGTTGTGAGATGGGGGTGGGCGGGTACACGATGTCAAGCTGTGAGGTAGGGGAGGGGGTGTGTGTATTCGGGGCGGGTACATGGTGTCGAGCAGTGAGGTAGGGGAGGGGGTGGGTATATTCGGGGCGGGTACATGGTGAGATGGGGTTGGTGTATTCGGGGCGGGTACATGGTTACAGAAAGCGAGTGAGGTTAGTAAGGGGGTGGGTTGTGAGATGGGGGTGGGCGGGTACACGATGTCAAGCTGTGAGGTAGGGGAGGGGTTGGTGTATTCGGGGCGGGTACATGGTGTCGAGCAGTGAGGTAGGGGAGGGGGTGGGTATATTCGGGGCGGGTACATGGTGTCGAGCAGTGAGGTAGGGGAGGGGGTGGGATGTATTCGGGGCTGGTACATGGTGTCGAGCAGTGAGGTAGGGGAGGGGGTGGGATGTATTCGGGGCGGGTACATGGTGTCGAGCAGTGAGGTAGGGGAGGGGGTGGGATGTATTCGGGGCGGGCACATGGTGTCGAGCAGTGAGGTAGGGGAGGGGGTGGGATGTATTCGGGGCGGGTACATGGTGTCGAGCAGTGAGGTAGGGGAGGGGGTGGGATGTGTTCGGGGCGGGTACATGGTGTCGAGCAGTGAGGTAGGGGAGGGGGTGGGATGTGTTCAGGGCGGGTACATGGTGTCGAGCAGTGAGGTAGGGGAGGGGGTGGGATGTGTTCGGGGCGGGTACATGGTGTCGAGCAGTGAGGTAGGGGAGGGGGTGGGATGTGTTCGGGGCGGGTACATGGTGTCGAGCAGTGAGGTAGGGGAGGGGGTGGGATGTGTTCGGGGCGGGTACATGGTGTCGAGCAATGAGGTAGGGGAGGGGGTGGGATGTGTTCGGGGGGGGGTACATGGTGTCGAGCAGTGAGGTAGGGGAGGGGGTTGGTGTATTCGGGGCGGGTACATGGTGTCGAGCAGTGAGGTAGGGGAGGGGGTGGGATGTGTTCGGGGCGGGTACATGGTGTCGAGCAGTGAGGTAGGGGAGGGGGTGGGATGTGTTCGGGGCTGGTACATGGTGTCGAGCAGTGAGGTAGGGGAGGGGGTGGGTGTATTCGGGGCTGGTACATGGTGTCGAGCAGTGAGGTAGGGGAGGGGGTGGGATGTGTTCGGGGCTGGTACATGGTGTCGAGCAGTGAGGTAGGGGAGGGGGTGGGTGTATTCGGGGCTGGTACATGATGTCGAGTAGTGAGGTAGGGGCGGGGGTGGGATGTATTCGGGGCGGGTACATGGTGTCGAGCAGTGAGGTAGGGGAGGGGGTGTGTGTATTCGGGGCGGGTACATGGTGTCGAGCAGTGAGGTAGGGGAGGGGGTGGGATGTGTTCGGGGCTGGTACATGGTGTCGAGCAGTGAGGTAGGGGAGGGGGTGGGATGTGTTCGGGGCGGGTACATGGTGTCGACCAGTGAGATAGGTGAGGGGGTGGGATGTGTTTGGGGCGGGTACATGGTGTCGAGCAGTGAGGTAGGGGAGGGGGTGGGTGTAATCGGGGCTGGTACATGGTGTCGAGCAGTGAGGTAGGGGAGGGGGTGGGTGTATTCGGGGCGGGTACATGGTGTCGAGCAGTGAGGTAGGGGAGGGGGTTGGTGTATTCGGGGCGGGTACATGGTGTCGAGCAGTGAGGTAGGGGAGGGGGTGGGATGTGTTCGGGGCGGGTACATGGTGTCGAGCAGTGAGGTAGGGGAGGGGGTGGGATGTGTTCGGGGCGGGTACATGGTGTCGAGCAGTGAGGTAGGGGAGGGGGTGGGATGTGTTCGGGGCTGGTACATGGTGTCGAGCAGTGAGGTAGGGGAGGGGGTGGGATGTGTTCGGGGCGGGTACATGGTGTCGAGCAGTGAGGTAGGGGAGGGGGTGGGATGTGTTCGGGGCGGGTACATGGTGTCGAGCAGTGAGGTAGGGGAGGGTGGTGTGTGTATTCGGGGCGGGTACATGGTGTCGAGCAGTGAGGTAGGGGAGGGGGTGGATGTGTTCGGGGCGGGTACATGGTGTCGAGCAGTGAGGTAGGGGAGGGGGGTTGGTGTATTCGGGGCGGGTACATGGTGTCGAGCAGTGAGGTAGGGGAGGGGGTTGGTGTATTCGGGGCGGGTACATGGTGTCGAGCAGTGAGGTAGGGGAGGGGGTGGGTGTATTCGGGGCGGGTACATGGTGTCGAGCAGTGAGGTAGGGGAGGGGTAGTGCTAGTATGTAGTGCGGTAGCGGCATGTCTATCAGTGTGGTAATGATGTGTTGTTTGCTGCAGTGGTTCGGAAACATGGTGACGATGAAATGGTGGGATGACCTTTGGCTGAACGAAGGATTTGCCAGCATTCTCATGTTCTTCGCCATGGACAACGCCTACCCAGAATGGAACGTCGTAAGTCCAAGACCTACCCATCAGTTCAGCACCACCTACTTATCGCAATCCCTGAATAGAGTTGGGTAGACTCAACAAATTAAATTGTTCGCCAGTTGTCAAAATATGTTCATATTATTAAGCTATAATTACTTTACTTAGTTTGATATGTTCCTTACTCTGTTACCCCTTTGTTGAAATTGAAATTTTAATAATAATTAGAAGATAAATACTATGTGTGTGTCTATTTCCGGGATTTTATCGAGTATTTGCATCTTGGAAATTCATCTCAAGACCCGAAAGCGTTAGCTCGAGGGGCTCGAATGAAAATTTCCAAGATGCAAATACTTGATAAAATCCCGGAAATAGACACACTCATAGTATTTATCGATATTGTCAACCTATTGTTATATTTAGAAAAAAACATGCGCACTCTTTAACACCTCGTACTTACTCAGTTGTGAGGCGTCAACATCGAACGTTCTGTTGTTGCTATGGTGATTGTGATTTTGGTAATTATTTCATTATAATTTTTTTTAATTAAGATTTAAAATCCCAATAATTCCCATGAATAGAGAAAGTCAAAATATTTGTTATGAATGTTAATTTTGTATTTCAATTTGCAAAAGAACTGTCGCACTCTTTAACTCAGCGAGTTATCACAGTTGTGATGCGTCAACATCGAAAAGTTCTATCGTTGCTATGGTGCACGTGGCTGCTACCACTTGACGAGAGGGGAAGACTTGCGTGACTTCATCCATTAGGAAGAAATTTATTTTCATTAATGCTTTGTTTGATTATTACTTCTATATTTTAATTCTATTTTCAAATTATATTTTCATTATTTCTCAAAAATCCATGAAAACTAGGATTGTATTCCTACACAGTGATTCGGTCGCTTGCTTCAGGGAATGCAAATCATATTTTCACCCTTTGACATTTGGTCATGTGACCGAAATTAGCCAATCACAACACAGAACACACTTTCTATAGGTTTACAATGTCTAACATCCATATAAACATGAGAAATGTGAAGAATACTGGCCTCAGTGACATTTTATACATCATGTCCTGTGACTGGGCAGCGGGCTGATTCAGTTGCGTCAACACGTCCGGCTGCTGGGAAAGGAGCTATCGATACTTACAATGTATATGCATTGAGAAAAGGCTGCAGTCCAATTGATTAAAAAAACATGTTCTGTCATTACTGACTCCAATTGTAACTATAATAAATATATGTATGATGTATATTTAATTCAAAACCATATAACTATAATGTTGCTTCATACAAAGTTGATTCATCAACGAGCATCGTGACCCTTGCAATATTTCCATAAAGACGTGTGTCATTTTGCAAGTATACCATGATTGAATGATGGATCACACGGACGGTAATCGTATACATACTAATAGAGACAGGGGCGCTGGGACCCGTCACGCCGAAGACCCGGGCTCGATTCCCAACATGGGTACAATGTGTGAAGCCCATTCCTGGAGTCCCCCCGCCGTGATATTGCTGGAATATTGCTGAAAGCCGCGTAAAACCATACTCACTCTCTCGCTCGCTCACTATAGATGCAGAACTATCCCAAAGTCACATGCCCGTCCATCTTTCTCGTGAATTATGTAATAGAGAGTGGAACTCACATATTTCCAACCTTTCTGTCGCAGTTTGCCATTCAAGTGGTGGAATACATGTTTCCAGCCATGGTTAAAGATGCTCTTGTGACGTCACATCCGGTGTCGGCGGATATAGAAGATCCAAACGATATTCATCAATCCTTTGACATTATTTCTTACAATAAGGTATGTGCAAGGCCGTACAGGTAAACGTGGTAAACAGTACAAGAGCGATCTCAGCTTTACCCAGTCTGTACAGTGTGATATCAGCATTTCTATATGATATCACATATTCACCATGATGCCAGTTACATAGCGAGATATCCTCTATACCACGTGATATCCGCTTGTTTCAGGGCATGGCTGTATTGAGGATGCTACAAGGTTTCATTGGATGGAAAAGTTTCAAGGAAGGATTACAGGTAACACTGCCACTATAGATGTTATGTTTATATATGCACCTTGAAATAAATTAAGCACCGTCTGACAAAATAAAGAACAGTGATATACCCATTCATAAAACTTCAAGTTTCATGATACTCATTCCTGGCTGTCGATCTCGAGTATAGTCAAGACAATAACTGACTGTGTCGCCCACACACAGTGACATATGAACGTGAAGCATGGTACCCTCGAATTTCAGGAAAAGCATTTTAACATTGACGCAAGTAAGAGAACATTAAGTGGCAATTATCCGATTGTTTAGTTTGCACATGTAACCATGGCACGCATTGATATGCACGACGCATGTATGTCATACAGAGCAGACTCGTTAGTAAACGCCGGCAGACACGTGAAACAAAGCTCGACGTCATTGGTGTATGGCTCGACGTCATTGCAATCTGAGGACGTGGCGACGGATCCACTGGTGCAATAAAGGCAGATACCTGCTGCACGTTACAGATGGGCGAATGCGGGTTTGGAGACACGTAAACACAGCGTTTACCCCCAAGAACATTGTACATCAGTCCCGTGTGGTTGGGGCTTCCGTTTGGTGTAGGGAGGAGTATGTTATGACTGTAAACTTGACATGGTCACAGTACGAGACAATCTCAACGGTAATCGTTACAGTCAGGACATCCTCAATCATGTTGCTGTGCCACAGTTTGACAATCATGCACTTGCCACTCGACCTGTGTTTATGGACAACCATAGACACCATCGTTCTCGTGTCGTGACTGCATTTCTGAAAGGAAACGCTATTGACACTTTGCCTTGGCCCGCTTTGAGTCAAGATTTCAATTCATTGCAATATGTTTGGGACATTCGTGGACGATGCTGCAAGCAATGGATCCACCACTACAACATTTGTCAAGTTTAGAGGCTGCATTGGATTGGGAATCCGTCATCCAGGTATTAAAACGGGAGTTTGGGAATCAGCTCGTTTAGAAGTGGCACCACTGTACACGACCGACCCACACACCACAAGGCCTGCGTGAATAAACAGTCAGTTTATTAGACAGCCACAGAATCGATATATTATCAGTCTACAATAGAATGTTTACAATCAATTATTATAGAAGTTTTACAATCAGTTATATATGTGAAGAACCTTTGATAAACATGATATGGAATGTACGATATGTTTATGTACTACACCACGATACATATTCCAAGGTACACAACACAATACAGCAGTTTACATATGATTGAATATAGAATACCGGCCACACTCTCATACATTACCAGAGCATTCATAGACACATTCTAGTTCAGCCACGTGTTCCATAAGTTAAACAACGTAACAAGGTTGAGAGAATTGGCCGAATCTACATTGGTATTTACAGCTTTAGTACATGGGAATCTCTAAGATATACACACTAGTAGGACATTTGCAATTACCAATTAAGATTGCAAGGATGACAAAGGTTAAAAGCGTATAGTTCAGACTTAACATAGTACAAGACAGTTACATTTCCCACCTGTGTGAATAAACAGTCAGTTTATAAGACAGCCACAAAATGATTTGTGACTGTCTGTCGTCCGTATCTATACCTATTCTAGCAACTACAGATAATCTCATTGACTGATTAAACTGAAGATCAAGTAACTGTTGCTATTGCGAACTTAAGTAGCGCTCTCTAGACAGAATTATATAATTTAGTTTGACCGAGGCATTGATGATAAAGGTATTTATGAGTGAAGTTTAGTAAGAATAATAGCTTACCAGTTGCTAGTATGCCACGAATGTATACGTGGTACGGATGATTTGATGAGGGTTAATAAACAGCTGTAGATACAGATAAAGATATTAACGTCTTATGTGTTTGCCTACCTCCATCTGACCAGCACAGGGAGAGATGCTGGTTCTGTCCGATAATCGAAACCAATACTTGGTTTGTTACAGGTAGAGAGGGTGTACGCATGTGGTGCACGTGCAGGTCATGACGATTAAATTGACTACGCTCCCGAGGACACACGTGTTGCTCATAAGATTATTTAGAGATCGGTGTTACTGAACTCGCCACTTGAACTCGTTGTTAATCCTCACGTCGATTATCTGTACCTTTTCTCCAAATACCGATTGTCATATCTCTCCCACTTTGCGATGTGATCTTTCGGTCACTGTGTTTATCTGCGTGGTCCAGCTGCAGCTGTGGGGAACAACTCATGAGACACTTCCCTCTACAAAATAGTGTCGTCCAATATGTGACGTCGTCAAGTTGCGAGCGCATATTCGAATCTCCAGAAATGATGTCATGATAGAACAAAGTTTTTTAGCTATTCCGTGTTCGTTGCGATTTATCGGTAGCTTTCTTATATCATTGTCATAGATACTATGTAAATATACATATATGGTTGTCATGAGTCATATGTAAAATAAAATAAACATGTATAGTTGTCATGAGTCATATGTAAACATACATATATGGTTGTCATGAGTCATATGTAAATATACATATATAGTTGTCATGAGTCATATGCAAATAAACATATATAGTTCTCCTGAGTCATATGTAAATATATATATATATAGTTGTCATGAGCTGTGTGTAAATATCCATATATAGTTGTCCCGAGTCATATGTAAATATACTTCTATAGTTGTCATGAGTCGTATGTAAATATACATCTATATATGTCATGAGTCATGTGTAGTTTTAGTTATATTGTTGCCACAGCTTTGTTTGTGCTTTGTGTTGCAGCTGTAATTGTGCCTTGTGTTGCAGCTGTACGTCCGCCGATATAAGTTCAAGAACGCTGAGCGGGACGAACTGTGGCAGACATTCACAGAGGTTGGTTGGGCACGGTCGGATTTGTTGTTGTTTCTGTGCAAACCCTGGTTCGGTCAGGGTGGGATGGTAGGGTATCTGTGCAAACCCTGAAGGTAAGGGTGGGATGGTAGGGTATCTGTGCCAACCCTGGACGGTCAGGGTGGGATGGTAGGGTATCTACGCCAACACGGACGGTAAGGGTGGGATGGTAGGGTATCTACGCCAACACTGGACGGCCTGGGTGGGATGGTAGGGTATCTGTGCCAACACGGACGGTCAGGGTGGGATGGTAGGGTATCTGTGCCAACACTGGACGGTCAGGGTGGGATGGTAGGGTATCTGTGCCAACACGGACGGTAAGGGTGGGATGGCAGGGTATCTGTGCAAACCCTGGACGGTCAGGGTGGGATGGTAGGGTATCTGTGCCAACACGGACGGTCAGGGTGGGATGGTAGGGTATCTGTGCAAATCCTGGACGGTCAGGGTGGGATGGTAGGGTATCTGTGCAAACCCTGAAGGTAAGGGTGGGATGGTAGGGTATCTGTGCAAACCCTGGACGGTCAGGGTGGGATGGTAGGGTATCTGTGCCAACACGGACGGTCAGGGTGGGATGGTAGGGTATCTGTGCAAACCCTGGACGGTCAGGGTGGGATGGTAGGGTATCTGTGCCAACACGGACGGTAAGGGTGGGATGGTAGGGTATCTGTGCAAACCCTGGACGGTCAGGGTGGGATGGTAGGGTATCTGTGCAAACCCTGAAGGTAAGGGTGGGATGGTAGGGTATCTGTGCCAACACGGACGGTCAGGGTGGGATGGTAGGGTATCTACGCCAACACGGACGGTAAGGGTGGGATGGTAGGGTATCTACGCCAACACTGGACGGTCAGGGTGGGATGGTAGGGTATCTGTGCCAACACGGACGGTCAGGTTGGGATGGTAGGGTATCTGTGCAAACCCTGGACGGTAAGGGTGGGATGGTAGGGTATCTGTGCCAACACGGACGGTCAGGGTGGGATGGTAGGGTATCTGTGCCAACGCGGACGGTAAGGGTGGGATGGTAGGGTATCTGTGCAAACACTGGACGGTAAGGGTGGGATGGTAGGGTATCTGTGCCAACACGGACGGTAAGGGTGGGATGGTAGGGTATCTGTGCAAACCCTGGACGGTCAGGGTGGGATGGTAGGGTATCTGTGCAAACCCTGGACGGTCAGGGTGGGATGGTAGGGTATCTCTGCAAACCCTGGACGGTCAGGGTGGGATGGTAGGGTATCTGTGCAAACCCTGGACGGTCAGGGTGGGATGGTAGGGTATCTGTGCAAACCCTGAAGGTAAGGGTGGGGTGGTAGGGTATCTGTGCCAACACGGACGGTCAGGGTGGGATGGTAGGGTATCTGTGCAAACCCTGAAGGTAAGGGTGGGATGGTAGGGTATCTGTGCCAACCCTGGACGGTCAGGGTGGGATGGTAGGGTATCTGTGCCAACACGGACGGTAAGGGTGGGATGGTAGGGTATCTGTGCCAACACGGACGGTAAGGGTGGGATGGTAGGGTATCTGTGCCAACACGGACGGTCAGGGTGGGATGGTAGGGTATCTGTGCAAACCCTGAAGGTAAGGATGGGATGATAGGGTATCTGTGCCAACACGGACGGTCAGGGTGGGATGGTAGGGTATCTGTGCCAACACGGACGGTAAGGGTGGGATGGTAGGGTATCTGTGCCAACACGGACGGTAAGGGTGGGATGGTAGGGTATCTGTGCCAACACGGACGGTAAGGGTGGGATGGTAGGGTATCTGTGCAAACCCTGAAGGTAAGGATGGGATGGTAGGGTATCTGTGCCAACACGGACGGTAAGGGTGGGATGGTAGGGTATCTGTGCCAACACGGACGGTAAGGGTGGGATGGTAGGGTATCTGTGCCAACACGGACGGTAAGGGTGGGATGGTAGGGTATCTGTGCAAACCCTGAAGGTAAGGATGGGATGGTAGGGTATCTGTGCCAACACGGACGGTCAGGGTGGGATGGTAGGGTATCTGTGCCAATACGGACGGTAAGGGTGGGATGGAAGGGGTATCTGTGCCAACACGGACGGTAAGGGTGGGATGGTAGGGTATCTGTGCCAACACGGACGGTAAGGGTGGGATGGTAGGGTATCTGTGCAAACCCTGAAGGTAAGGATGGGATGATAGGGTATCTGTGCCAACACGGACGGTAAGGGTGGGATGGTAGGGTATCTGTGCAAACCCTGAAGGTAAGGATGGGATGATAGGGTATCTGTGCCAACACTGAAAGTAAGGGTGGGATGGTAGGGTATCTGTGCCAACACGGACGGTCAGGGTGGGATGGAAGGGGTATGATGTTGTACGACGCGGAGGAAGGAATAGGATATTGGGATGAACGAATAATATCGTTCATTAACCGCAGACTGGAGGATATTTTGTGAGTGCTTCATTCAGTAATGGTTCCAAAACACCGTCAGGATTAGGCCTTGTTGAGGGGAAATTAATGAACACTGGTGAAGGATTAGGCCTTGTTGAGGGGGAAATTAATGAACAGTGGTGAAGGATGGGGCATTGCTGAGGGGGGATTAATGAACAGTGGAGAAGGATGGGGCATTGTTGAGGGGGGATTAATGAACAGTGGAGAAGGATGGGGCATTGTTGAGGGGGGACTAATGAACAGTGGTGAAGGATGGGGCATTGTTGAGGGGGGAATTAATGAACAGTGGACAAGGATGGGGCATTTTTGAGGGGGCTTTAATGAACAGTGGTAAAGGATGGGGCATTAGTGAAGGGCTCATGGTGACTGTCGAACAACGGTGACGGGTGGAGCATTTGGGAAGGGTAATTGATGAATAGTGATGAGGGGTGGGCTGGGGGTATTATTGAAATATACATGGGAATTGAGGAATAGTTGTGGAAGTGAGGATATTATTGAGGGGCGCAATGTAATGGCAGCTGATAAACATAGCTGGTTAATGAATAGTGCAGTGTAACTTATGGGTGTTAACGAATAGGGCAGGTTAACTGATGAAGAGTGGTGTGGGAGGGGTGTTAACGAATAGGGCAGGTTAACTGATGAAGAGTGGTGTGGGAGGGGTGTTAACGAATAGGGCAGGTTAACTGTTGAAGAGTGATGTGGGAGGGGTGTTAACGAATAGTGCAGGTTAACTGGTGAAGAGTGGTGTGGGAGGGTTGTTAACGAATGGGTCAGGTTAACTGATGAAGAGTGGTGTGGGAGGGGTGTAAACGAATAGGGCAGGTTAACTGGTGAAGAGTGGTGTTGGAGGGGTGTTAACGAATAGGTCAGGTTAACTGGTAGAGAGTGGTGTGGGAGGGGTGTTAACGAATAGTGCAGGTTAACTGGTGAAGAGTGGTGTTGGAGGGGTGTTAACGAATAGGGCAGGTTAACTGGTGAAGAGTGGTGTGGGAGGGATGTTAACGAATAGGGCAGGTTAACTGATGAAGAGTGGTGTGGGAGGGGTGTTAACGAATAGTGCAGGTTAACTGGTGAAGAGTGGTTTGGGAGGGGTGTTAACGAATAGGGCAGGTTAACTGGTGAAGAGTGGTGTGGGAGGGGTGTTAACGAATAGTGCAGGTTAACTGGTGAAGAGTGGTGTGGGAGGGGTGTTAACGAATAGGGCATGTTAACTGGTGAAGAGTGGTGTGGGAGGGGTGTTAACGAATAGGGCAGGTTAACTGAAGAAGAGTGGTGTGGGAGGGGTGTTAACGAATAGGGCAGGTGAACTGATGAAGAGTGATGTGGGAGGGGTGTTAACGAATAGGGCAACTTAACTGGTGAAGAGTGGTGTGGGGGGGATGTTAACGAATAGGGCAGGTTAACTGGTGAAGAGTGGTGTGGGAGGGGTGTTAACGAATGGTGCAGGTTAACTGGTGAAGAGTGGTGTGGGAGGGGTGTTAACGAATAGGTCAGGTGTAATGATGAAGAGTGGTGTGGGATTGGTGTTAACGAGTAGGGCAGGTTAACTGGTGAAGAGTGGTGTGGGAGGGGTGTTAACGAATAGGGCAGGTTAACTGGTGAAGAGTGGTGTGGGAGGGGTGTTAACGAGTAGGGCAGGTTAACTGATGAAGAGTGGTGTGGGAGGGGTGTAAACGAATAGTGCAGGTTAGCTGGTTAAAAGTGGTGTGGGAGGGGTGTTAACGAATAGGTTAGGTTAACCGATGAAGAGTGGCGTAGATAGTGTATCATTAAAGGATGCATTGTTATTGATGAAGATTAGTTACAATGTGGCTAGTTTTGGAGGATGCATGATTAATGAACGTTTTGAAGACTGGTGGGGGTTGGGTATTATAGATTGACATTGGTAAACGTGGTTTGTGGGATGTTAATGTGGATTACATATTTCTAGGTTGAGGTATGAATGAAGGACGGGAGGTAACAGGTGAACACTGTTAGGGATGAGGTATGAATGAAGGACACAAGTAATATGTTGTAGGAGCTGTTTGTGGTAAGCACGTGCGGGATTATATCCTTTTAAATCACTGACTTTGTTTCCTGATGATGACAGAACGTATGAATGTGCTGTTAATGTTAGAAGTGAAACAGAGTCGACATGTCTTTATCAGGCTGTCAACAACACGTACATCGTTAAAAAGATCATGGACACATGGACCAGACAGACCGGATATCCGGTTGTAAACGTGCGCACAGTCAACAACACTTTCATCCTGGATCAGGAGAGATTCCTGCTGAACCAGGAGGAGGCGGATCCGTTGGACGACAACCCCTTCGGGTGAGTTACAGTCTGTGTACGCCAGTACACATAGTTACATCACCCCAACAAACAGGTCTTTCTTCGCGCGCAAACCTTATTACACAAACAAAGAAGCCTGAACAATTATTAATACATGCACGTCTTGTGCAGCAGGCGAAAGGTAAACCGGTTTGTTTTCATACATGCACGTGTGCATGTAAAACACTGCCAGGTGAATGTACACATCCAGTGGGTATTACATAGTTCCATCACGTGATACGTGGTCACACTAGTCGGAGACAAAACTAGACATCTCGCAATGTGTTTGGTGGAGCTTACCTACACAGTAGTAACATGGCTTCACCTTGATTTAGTGTAGTTGCTATATCTATGGCCAAATGTTCTTCTGACCCAATATGCTGTGGCTACGATCAACCAGTGTGCAGTGGCCAACTCATCTTCCGAAGCAAGTGAGTTAACTGACTATAAAAGCCCAGTTTCCACCCTTGAGGACTAGGCTGGTATTATGGAGGTACATTTTGGCTGCACTAACGAGTCTTTGCATAGTCCAATCACAATCACGCAACGAAATCGAAATCCGGTTCATAAACTGTGATGCAGTTTTCGGTCGATTGCAATATTTGCAAAGCATGTGCACCGCCATTTTGTTTGAAGCAAATGCAAGTGATACGAGAAGTAGAATCTGATTGGTCCATAGGAGAGGCATAGAAGGGACATAACTGTAATAGCCACTGGTGGGGCGCTACGGTCGAGCCCAGGAATTCCAGCCTAGTTCGGCAAGGGTGGAAACTGGACTTTTAAAGTCACTCAACTTTCTTGCCACGGGAAGATGTGGCCAACTATGCTGAAAGCCCTGGTCCTATTTCCCACATGGGTACATATTGAAGCCTATTTCTGTCCCCATTGTTACACTGATTGGATATTGCTAAAGGCAGCGGAAAACTAAACTCACTCTCCCACTTTCTTTGCAAGTTCCAATTTTTATAGTCCTCCTCGACCATCTATGGCTCTTTCATGCTGCTCTATATGCCAACATGAATCACACCAATCCTCACATAATTAATATATTAGTGGTATATATATATTTCGGATAAATGTATGTTGAGGCAAGTTTATCGCATGAAAACTGTAAAAACAACCGATAGTATCACGGGCACTCTAGTTTTCCAATTAATTACATCAACTGTACGCATCACCATTTCTCAATAAATGCGAATGACAATGTGGTTTCGGGACCTGATTCCTGGAGGGGAGGGAACTCGTAGACTGCCGCTTTTGAATATCAACAGCACCTTCTATGCTTCACATCAGTTCGTGTACAACGTTGAAGGGGCGATGAACAACAATGTAGTAATGTCTTTGTTAGCCTGTGACGATGTGTGACTCTGTGCGGCTGCAGGTACCGGTGGTATATCCCCTTCACATACATCATCCAGTACGACAGAGACGTCCGTAAGGTCTGGCTCAACATGGAGGCAGGTACGTACACCAATACTCAGTCGTCCCAACACAGTTGTGTAGATGAGGTAACCTTAGGCTTGATCGTCATTTGTATTACCACACATAACATGATTTTATTACCGTTCTGGTCTGTCATTTTCGTATATCAAGTTTCCAACTTGATCATAGAAGTGTGTAAGAACATACGTTTTGCCCTCGGGTGGTAGTTCAGTGGGACAACGGAAGATAAAACTCAGAGGTGAAGTCTAAACGACAGCAGCCATGATTATTGTAAATGGGGAATATTGGTCGAATAGATACAAGTAGTGGTAATCACGTGACAGAACGCACACCGAGACCGATTGGCTAATATGTTCCCCTTGCAGACCCGCTGTATCTCATGCACATGCACAGGAAGACAGACGGCGATTCTTTGCCGTTGACGTAGTCGTCGGTGAGTCGGCGGCTATAGTCGACGCCACGACTAGCCGTGCAGTGCGTCCGCTTCTGTCGATGGTCTGGGCCCGTCTCTCTGACTAAACATGTCAGACAGATTTTGTAGATAGATGTATTACATCACGTGGGGCAAGGTCAGTGACCCACGTACATGTACATACGTAACATCAGGCGACGCAGGGAAGCCTGCGTTAATTGACGTTTATAGTTAGCGCTGGGGATCAAGGGTCCTGCCCGAAGGGGGCTTATGTTTAAAGGGGATGCGCTGAATGTTGGCTGTATACAGTAAACAGACAAAGGGGGTAGAATTTCCGTGCACTTTGGGCACATATTGAAATCATTACTAATTTTACATAAATAAAGTATTAAATAAAAGAAATGAAATGGTTTGCACTACAACAGAACTTTCTGGAACTATTAAAGGAAATATGGCGTATCCACGTGTGCGGTTACCATTGGCAGACCATGTACAAGAGTCAGTGCCGTACAACCAGTGCCGTACTGTCAGATAGTGTACACCAGTCAACCAGTGCCGTACTGCCAGACAGTGTACACCAGTCAACCAGTGCCGTACTGTCAGACAATGTACACTAACCAACCAGTGCCTTATTGTCAGACAATATATACCAGTCAACCAGTGCCGTACTGCCAGACAATGTACACCAATCAACTAGTTCCGTACTATCGGATAGTGTACACCAGTCAACCAGTGCCGTACTGTCAGACAATGTACACTAACCAACCAGTGCCTTATTGTCAGACAATATATACCAGTCAACCAGTGCCGTACTGCCAGACAATGTACACCAATCAACTAGTGCCGTACTATCAGACAGTGTACACCAGTCAACCAGTGCCGTACTGTCAGACAATGTACACTAACCAACCAGTGCCTTATTGTCAGACAATATATACCAGTCAACCAGTGCCGTACTGTCAGACAGTGTACACCAACCAACCAGTGCCGTACTATCAGACAATGTACACCAGTCAACCAGTGCCGTACTATCAGACAGTGTAAACCAGTCAACCAGTGCCGTACTATCAGACAGTGTACACCAGTCAACCAGAGCCGTACTGTCAGACAGTGTACACCAGTCAACCAGTGCCGCACTATCAGACAATGTACACCAACCAACCAGTGCCGTACTATCAGACAATGTACACCAGTAAACCAGTGCCGTACTGTCAGACAATGTACACCAGTCAACCAGTGCCGTACTATCAGACAGTGTAAACCAGTCAACTAGTGCCGTACTGTCAGACAATGTACACCAGTAAACCAGTGCCGTACTGTCAGACAATGTACACCAGTCAACAAGTGCCGTACTGTCAGACAGTGTACACCAGTCAACCAGTTCCGTACTATCAGACAGTGTAAACCAGTCAACAAGTTCCGTACTATCAGACAGTGTACACCAGTCAACCAGAGCCGTACTGTCAGACAGTGTACACCAGTCAACCAGTGCCGTACTATCAGATAATGTACACCAACCAACCAGTGCCTTACTGTCAGACAATGTACACCAGTAAACCAGTGCCGTACTGTCAGACAATGTACACCAGTCAACCAGTGCCGTACTATCAGACAGTGTAAACCAGTCAACCAGTGCCGTACTGCCAGACAATGTACACCAGTCAACCAGTGCCGTACTATCAGACAATGTACACCAGTCAACCAGTGCCGTACTGTCAGACAGTGTACACCAACCAACCAGTGCCGTACTATCAGACAATGTACACCAACGAACCAGTGCCTTACTGTCAGACAATGTACACCAGTCAACCAGTGCCGTACTATCAGACAGTGTAAACCAGTCAACCAGTGCCGTACTGTCAGACAATGTACACAAACCAGCCAGTGCCGTACTGTCAGACAGTGTAAACCAGTCAACCAGTGCCGTACTATCAGACAGTGTACACCAACCAACCAGTGCCATACTGCCAGACATTGTACACCAGTCAACCAGTGCCGTACTATCAGACAATGTACACCAGTCAACCAGTGCCGTACTGTCAGACAATGTACACCAGTCAACCAGTGCCGTACTATCAGACAATGTACACCAGTCAACCAGAGCCGTACTGTCAGACAATATATACCAGTCAACCAGTGCCGTACTGTCAGACAATGTACACCAGTCAACTAGTGCCGTACTATCAGACTGTGTAAACGAGTCAACCAGAGCCGTACTGTCAGACAATGTACACCAGTAAACCAGTGCCGTACTATCAGACAATGTACACCAGTCAACCAGAGCCGTACTGTCAGACAATATATACCAGTCAACCAGTGCCGTACTGTCAGACAATGTACACCAGTCAACTAGTGCCGTACTATCAGACTGTGTAAACGAGTCAACCAGAGCCGTACTGTCAGACAATGTACACCAGTCAACCAGTGCCGTACTATCAGACAATGTACACCAGTCAACCAGAGCCGTAATGTCAGACAATATATACCAGTCAACCAGTGCCGTACTGTCAGACAATGTAAACCAGTCAACCAGTGCCGTACTGTCAGACAATATATACCAGTCAACCAGTGCCGTACTGCCAGACAATGTACACCAGTCAACCAGTGCCGTACTATCAGACAATGTACACCAGTCAACCAGTGCCGTACTGTCAGACAGTGTACACCAACCAACCAGTGCCGTACTATCAGACAATGTACACCAACGAACCAGTGCCTTACTGTCAGACAATGTACACCAGTCAACCAGTGCCGTACAACAGTCTTCTGAAATGGAGAAATCGTGTACGTTTTTGAAACCGCTTTCGATATCACGTCTCCAAGAAAAAACTTTTTGGTCATGTCAAACATTGCATCAATTTGTTTGTTTCTTGTTTAACGTCGCACTCAGCAACATTCCAGCTATATGACGGCGATCTGTAAATAATCGAATCTGGACCAGACAATCCAGTTAAACCAAAATCCTGCAAACTAACATACTATACTATACAGAACAGAACAGAAGAGTACCGTTATTGTTTCAGCCACAATTAACCGGACAGAAGGTTGGCTGCTGGGCAACGTGGACTACATGGGATTCTTTCGCGTCAACTACGAGAAGGACATGTGGATGCGACTAGGAGGCCAGCTGCTGTACAACCACACCGTGAGTCCCAGCAGGTCTATAGCCCCATCTCGCCCACATCACAACCCCGTCACGCCCACATCACAACCCCATCTCGCCCACATCACAACCTCGTCACGCCGACATCACAACCTCTTCACGACCACATCACAACCCCATCTCGCCCACATGACAACCCCATCTCGCCCACATCAAAACCTCGTCACGACCACTCACAACCCCATTTCGCCCACAACACAACTCCGTCACGCCCACTCACAACCCCGTCACGACCACTCACAACCCCGTCACGCCCACATCACAACCCCATCTCGCCCACATCACAACTCCGTCAGGCCCACTCACAACCCCATCACGCCCACTCACAAACCCGTCACGACGACGCAACACCCTGTCACTCCCATTCACTACCCCGACACGCCCACTCACAACCCCGACGCGCCCAATCACAACCCCGTCACGCCCGCATCACAACCCAATCTCGCCCACATCATACCCTCGCCACGACCACTCACAACGCCGTCATGCCCACACCACAACCCTAACTCGCCCACATGAAAACCCCGTCAAGCCCACTCACAACCCTGTCACTCCCACTCACAACCCCGACACGCCCACTCAAAACACCGCCACGACCACGCTCAACCCTGTCATTCCCACACACAACCCCATCACGCCCACCCACAACCTCCAGATATCCGTGTAACATGTTGCATAAAACTCGGTTTTCCTTCTAATTCAGTATGTTCCTATGTTGGTGCAGGTGTTCCCCGAGGCCAACAGAGCGGGTTTGATAGGAGACGCCTTCGCCCTTGCCAGGTACGTTTCCCCACACCGCCTGGACACCTTAGTTACTGTAGCAACCACGTGCATGTCAGCAGTTGGAACAAGGCGCCACTGTGTGGAAGGGCGGTATTTCATTACCCGTAATGACCTGGATGCGTCATCTGTAGATCGACGTGTTTGTGGAGTGAGTCAAGGGTTGAATCAGTTGGACAACATACCCCCATGTCGTTAAAGCACAGGCACTTATACCTAATGTTCAACATAGTTATGGCAGCGCTAGGAAGCGCTTGGTTGTTGAAGACCTTTTCTTAACTGGATCATGGTTGATATACATAGTGAGAGGTGTACCTGACTGTGCTGTGTATATTTACATAGAGAGGTGTACCTGACTGTGAGGTGTATATTGACATAGAGAGGGGTACCTGACTCTGAGGTGTATATTGACATAGAAAGGTGTACCTGACCTTCTGGTGTATATTTACACAGAGTGGTGTACCTGACTGTGTGGTGTATATTTACAAAGAGTGGTGTACCTGACTGTGTGGTGTATATTTACACAGAGTGGTGTACCTGACTGTGTGGTGTATATTTACATAGAGTGGTGTACCTGACTGTGTGGTGTATATTAAAATCGAGAGGTGTACCTGACTGTGTGGTGTATATTGACATAGAGAGGTGTACCTGACTGTGAGGTGTATATTGACATAGACTGGTGTACCTCACTGTTTGGTGTATATTTACATAGAGAGGTGTACCTGACTGTGTGGTGTATATTCACACAGAGTGGTGTACCTCACTGTGTGGTGTATATTGACATAGAGAGGTGTACCTGACTGTGTGGTGTATATTTACACAGAGTGGTGTACCTGACTGTGTGGTGTATATTTACACAGAGTGGTGTACCTCACTGTGTCGTGTATATTGACATAGAGAGGTGCTTCTGACTGTGTGGTGTATATTTACACAGAGTTGTGTACCTGACTATGTGGTGTATATTGACATAGAGATGTGTACCTGACTGTGTGGTGTATATTTACACAGAGTGGTGGACATGACTGTGAGGTGTATATTTACATAGAGATGTGTACCTGACTTTGTGGTGTATATGGACATAGAGATGTGTACCTGACTGTGTGGTGTATATTTACATAGAGATGTGTACCTGACTGTGTGGTGTATATTGACATAGAGAGATGTACCTGACTGTGCGGTGTATATTTACACAGAGTGGTGGACATGACTGTGAGGCGTATATTTACATAGAGAGGTGTACCTGACTGTTTAATGTATATTTACATAGAGAGGTGTACCTGACTGTGTGGTGTATATTTACACAGGCTGGTGTACCTGACTGTGTGGTGTATATTTACAAAGAGATGTGTTCCTGACTGTCAGGTTCATATTTACATAGAGAGTTGTACCTGTCTGTAAGGTGTATATTTACAGAGAGAGGTGTACCTGACTCTGTGATATATATTTACACAGAGTGGTGTACCTGACTGTGAGGTGTATATTTACAAAGAGGTGTGTTCCTGACTGTGAAGTGTATATTTGCACAGAGTTGCGTACCTGACTGTGAGGTGTATATTTTCTAAGAGAAGTGTCCCTGACTGTGAGGTGTATATTTGCACAGAGTGGTGTACCTGACTGTGTGGTGTATATTTACATAGAGAGGCGTACCTGACTGTGAGGTGTATATTTACATAGAGAGGTGTACTTGACTATGAGGTGTATATTTACATAGAGAGGTGTACCTGACTGTGTTGAATATATTTACACAGATTGGTGTACCTGACTGTGTGGTGTATATTTACAAAAAGATGTGTTCCTGACTGTCAGGTTCATATTTACATAGAGACTTGTACCTGTCTGTGAGGTGTATATTTACAGAGAGAGGTGTACCTGACTCTGTGATATATATTTACACAGAGTGGTGTACCTGACTGTGAGGTGTATATTTACAAAGAGGTGTGTTCCTGACTGTGAAGTGTATATTTGCACAGAGTTGCGTACCTGACTGTGAGGTGTATATTTTCTAAGAGAAGTGTCCCTGACTGTGAGGTGTATATTTGCACAGAGTGGTGTACCTGACTGTGTGGTGTATATTTACATAGAGAGGCGTACCTGACTGTGAGGTGTATATTTACATAGAGAGGTGTACTTGACTATGAGGTGTATATTTACATAGAGAGGTGTACCTGACTGTGTTGAGTATATTTACACAGATTGGTGTACCTGACTGTGTGGTGTATATTGACATAGAGAGGTGTACCTGACTGTGTGGTGTATATTGACATAGAGAGGTGTACCTGACTGTGTGGTGTATATTTACACAGAGTGGTGTACCTGACTGTGAGGTGTATATTCACAAAGAGATGTGTTCCTGTCTGTGAGTAGTATATTGACATAGAGAGGTGAACCTGACTGTGTGGTGTATATTTACACAGAGTGATGTACCCGACTGTGTGGTGTATATTCACATAGAGTGGTGTACCTGGCTGTGTGGTGTATATTTACACAGAGTGGTGTACCTGACTGTGACGTGTATATTCACAAAGAGATGTGTTCCTGTCTGTGAGGTGTATATTTACATAGAGAGGTGTACCTGACTGTGTGGTGTATATTTACACAGAGTGGTGTACCCGACTGTGTGGTGTATATTAACATATAGAGGTGTACCAGACTGTGTGGTGTATATTTACATAGAGAGGCATACCTGACTGTGAGGTGAATATTTACATAGAGAGGTGTACCTGACTGTGTGGTGTATATTGACATAGAGAGGTGTACCTGACTGTGTGGTGTATATTTACATAGAGAGGTGTTCCGGACTGTAAGGTGTATATTTACATAGAGAATAGTGCCTGACTGAGAGGTGAATATTTACACAGAGATGTGTTCCTGATTGTGAGGTGTATATTTACAAAGAGATGTGTTCCTGACTGTGAGGTGTATATTCACAAAGAGATGTGTAACTGACTGTGAGGTGTATATTTACATAGAGAGGTGTACCTGACTGTGAGGTGTATATTTACATAGAGAGGTGTACCTGACTGTGAGGTGTATATTTACACAGAGTGGTGTAACTGACTAAGACGAGTATATTGACATACTGAGGTGTAGGTGACAGTGAGGCGTATATTTACACAGAGAGGTGTACCTGACTGTGAGGTGTATATTAACATAGAGAGGTGTACCTGACTAAGACGAGTATATTGACATAGAGAGGTGTGCCTGACTAAGACGAGTACATTGACATAGAGAGGTGTACCTGACGGTGAGGTGTATATTTACAAAGAGAGGTGTTCCTGACTGTGAGGTGTATATTCACAAAGAGAGTTGTACCTGACTGTGACGAGTATATTGACATAGAGAGGTGTACCTGACTGTGTGGAGTATATTAACATAGAATGATGTACCTGACTGTGACGTGTATATTTACATAGAGAGGTGTTCCTGACTGTGTGGTGTATATTGACATAGAGAGGTGTACCTGACTGTGACGAGTATATTTACATAGAGAGGTGTTCCTGACTGTGTGGTGTATATTTACATAGAGAGGTGTACATAACTGTGACGTGTATATTTACAAAGAGATGTGTTCCTGACTGTGAAGTGTATATTTGCACAGAGTGGCGTACCTGACTGTGAGGTGTATATTTACAAAGAGAGGTGTTCCTGTCTGTGAGGTGTATATTTGCACAGAGTGGTGTACCTGACTGTGTGGTGTATATTTACATAGAGAGGTGTACCTGACTGTGAGGTGTATATTTACATAGAGAGGTGTACTTGACTATGAGGTGTATATTTACATAGAGAGGTGTACCTGACTGTGTTGAGTATATTTACACAGATTGGTGTACCTGACTGTGTGGTGTATACTGACATAGAGAGGTGTACCTGACTGTGAGATGTATATTTACATAGAGAGGTGTACCTGACTGTGAGGTGTATATTGACATAGAGAGGTGTACCTGACGGTGAGGTGTATATTTACATAGAGAGGTGTACCTGACTGTGACGTGTATATTAACATAGAGAGGTGTACCTGACTGTGATCTGTATATTTACATAGAGATGTGTACCTGACTATGAGGTGTATATTTACAAAGAGAGGTGTTCCTGACTGTGAGGTGTATATTCACAAAGAGAGTTGTACCTGACTGTGACGAGTATATTAACATAGAGAGGTGTTCCTGACTGTGTGGTGTATATTAACATAGAGAGGTGTACTTGACTATGAGGTGTATATTTACATAGAGGGTGTACCTGACTGTGTGGTGTATATTAACAAAGAGAGATGTACCTGACTGTGAGGTGTATATTTACATAGAGAGGTGTTCCTGACTGTGTGGTGTATATTAACAAAGAGAGATGTACCTGACTGTGACGAGTATATTAACATAGAGAGGTGTTCCTGACTGTGTGGTGTATATTAACATAGAGAGGTGTACTTGACTATGAGGTGTATATTTACATAGAGGGTGTACCTGACTGTGTTGAGTATATTTACACAGATTGGTGTACCTGACTGTGTGGTGTATACTGACATAGAGAGGTGTACCTGACTGTGAGGTGTATATTTACATAGAGAGGTGTACCTGACTGTGAGGTGTATATTTACATAGAGAGGTGTACCTGACTGTGTGGTGTATATTGACATAGAGAGGTGTACCTGACTGTGTGTTGTATATTTACACAGAGTGGTGTACCTGAATGTGAGGTGTATATTCACAAAGAAATGTGTTCCTGTTTGTGAGGTGTATATTTACATAGAGAGGTGTACCTGACTCTGTGGTGTACATTTACACAGAGTGGTGTACCTGAATGTGTGGTGTATATTGACATAGAGAGGTGTACCTGACTGTGTGGTGTATATTTAGACAGAGTGGTGTACCTGACTGTGAGGTGTATATTCACAAAGAGATGTGTTCCTGTCTGTTAGGTGTATATTTACATAGAGAGGTGTACCTGACTGTGTGGTGTATATTGACATAGAGAGGTGTACCTGACTGTGTGGTGTATATTTACACAGAGTGGTGTACCTGAATGTGAGGTGTATATTCACAAAGAGATGTGTTCCTGTCTGTGAGGTGTATATTTACATAGAGAGGTGTACCTGACTCTGTGGTGTACATTTACACAGAGTGGTGTACCTGAATGTGTGGTGTATATTGACATAGAGAGGTGTACCTGACTGTGTGCGTGGTGTACCTGACTAAGACGAGTATATTGACATAGTGAGGTGTTCGTGACTGTGAGGTGTATATTTACATAGAGAGGTGTACCTGACTGTGAGGCGTATATTAACATAGATAGGTGTACCTGACTAAGACGAGTATATTGACATAGAGAGGTGTGCCTGACTAAGACGAGTACATTGACATAGAGAGACGTACCTGACGGTGAGGTGTATATTGTCATAGACAGGTGTACCTGACGGTGAGGTGTATATTTACATAGAGAGGTGTACCTGACAGTGACGTGTATATTAACATAGAGAGGTGTACCTGACTGTGATCTGTATATTTACATAGAGATGTGTACCTGACTATGAGGTGTATATTTACAAAGAGAGGTGTTCCTGACTGTGAGGTGTATATTCACAAAGAGAGGTGTACCTGACTGTGTGGTGTATATTTACATAGAGAGGTGTACCAGACTGTGACGTGTATATTTACATAGAGAGGTGTTCCTGACTGTGACAAGTATATTGACATAGAGAGGTGTATCTGACTGTGACGTGTATATTTACTTAGAGAGGTGTTCCTGACTGTGTGGAGTATACTGATATAGAGAGGTGTACCTGACTGTGAGGTGTATATTGACATAGAGAGGTGTATCTGACTGTGACAAGTATTTTGACATAGAGAGGTGTTCCTGACTGTGACGTGCATATTTACTTGGAGAGGTATTCCTGACTGTGTGGAGTATATTGACATAGAGAGGTGTATCTGACTGTGACAAGTATATTGACATAGAGAGGTGTTCCTGACTGTGACGTGTATATTGACATAGAGAGGTGTACATAACTGTGACGTGTATATTTACAAAGAGATGTGTTCCTGACTGTGAAGTGTATATTTGCACAGAGTGGCGTACCTGACTGTGAGGTGTATATTTACAAAGAGAGGTGTTCCTGTCTGTGAGGTGTATATTTGCACAGAGTGGTGTACCTGACTGTGTGGTGTATATTTACATAGAGAGGTGTACCTGACTGTGAGGTGTATATTTACATAGAGAGGTGTACTTGACTATGAGGTGTATATTTACATAGAGAGGTGTACCTGACTGTGTTGAGTATATTTACACAGATTGGTGTACCTGACTGTGTGGTGTATACTGACATAGAGAGGTGTACCTGACTGTGAGATGTATATTTACATAGAGAGGTGTACCTGACTGTGAGGTGTATATTGACATAGAGAGGTGTACCTGACGGTGAGGTGTATATTTACATAGAGAGGTGTACCTGACTGTGACGTGTATATTAACATAGAGAGGTGTACCTGACTGTGATCTGTATATTTACATAGATATGTGTACCTGACTATGAGGTGTATATTTACAAAGAGAGGTGTTCCTGACTGTGAGGTGTATATTCACAAAGAGAGTTGTACCTGACTGTGACGAGTATATTAACATAGAGAGGTGTTCCTGACTGTGTGGTGTATATTAACATAGAGAGGTGTACTTGACTATGAGGTGTATATTTACATAGAGGGTGTACCTGACTGTGTGGTGTATATTAACAAAGAGAGATGTACCTGACTGTGAGGTGTATATTTACATAGAGAGGTGTTCCTGACTGTGTGGTGTATATTAACAAAGAGAGATGTACCTGACTGTGACGAGTATATTAACATAGAGAGGTGTTCCTGACTGTGTGGTGTATATTAACATAGAGAGGTGTACTTGACTATGAGGTGTATATTTACATAGAGGGTGTACCTGACTGTGTTGAGTATATTTACACAGATTGGTGTACCTGACTGTGTGGTGTATACTGACATAGAGAGGTGTACCTGACTGTGAGGTGTATATTTACATAGAGAGGTGTACCTGACTGTGAGGTGTATATTTACATAGAGAGGTGTACCTGACTGTGTGGTGTATATTGACATAGAGAGGTGTACCTGACTGTGTGTTGTATATTTACACAGAGTGGTGTACCTGAATGTGAGGTGTATATTCACAAAGAAATGTGTTCCTGTTTGTGAGGTGTATATTTACATAGAGAGGTGTACCTGACTCTGTGGTGTACATTTACACAGAGTGGTGTACCTGAATGTGTGGTGTATATTGACATAGAGAGGTGTACCTGACTGTGTGGTGTATATTTAGACAGAGTGGTGTACCTGACTGTGAGGTGTATATTCACAAAGAGATGTGTTCCTGTCTGTTAGGTGTATATTTACATAGAGAGGTGTACCTGACTGTGTGGTGTATATTGACATAGAGAGGTGTACCTGACTGTGTGGTGTATATTTACACAGAGTGGTGTACCTGAATGTGAGGTGTATATTCACAAAGAGATGTGTTCCTGTCTGTGAGGTGTATATTTACATAGAGAGGTGTACCTGACTCTGTGGTGTACATTTACACAGAGTGGTGTACCTGAATGTGTGGTGTATATTGACATAGAGAGGTGTACCTGACTGTGTGCGTGGTGTACCTGACTAAGACGAGTATATTGACATAGTGAGGTGTTCGTGACTGTGAGGTGTATATTTACATAGAGAGGTGTACCTGACTGTGAGGCGTATATTAACATAGATAGGTGTACCTGACTAAGACGAGTATATTGACATAGAGAGGTGTGCCTGACTAAGACGAGTACATTGACATAGAGAGACGTACCTGACGGTGAGGTGTATATTGTCATAGACAGGTGTACCTGACGGTGAGGTGTATATTTACATAGAGAGGTGTACCTGACAGTGACGTGTATATTAACATAGAGAGGTGTACCTGACTGTGATCTGTATATTTACATAGAGATGTGTACCTGACTATGAGGTGTATATTTACAAAGAGAGGTGTTCCTGACTGTGAGGTGTATATTCACAAAGAGAGGTGTACCTGACTGTGTGGTGTATATTTACATAGAGAGGTGTACCAGACTGTGACGTGTATATTTACATAGAGAGGTGTTCCTGACTGTGACAAGTATATTGACATAGAGAGGTGTATCTGACTGTGACGTGTATATTTACTTAGAGAGGTGTTCCTGACTGTGTGGAGTATACTGATATAGAGAGGTGTACCTGACTGTGAGGTGTATATTGACATAGAGAGGTGTATCTGACTGTGACAAGTATTTTGACATAGAGAGGTGTTCCTGACTGTGACGTGCATATTTACTTGGAGAGGTATTCCTGACTGTGTGGAGTATATTGACATAGAGAGGTGTATCTGACTGTGACAAGTATATTGACATAGAGAGGTGTTCCTGACTGTGACGTGTATATTGACATAGAGAGGTGTACCTGACTGTGACGAGTATATTGACATAGAGAGGTGTTCCTCACTGTGTGGAGTATATTAACATAGAGTGATGTACCTGACTGTGAGGTGTATATTGACATAGAGAGGTGTACCTTACTGTGACGTGTATATTTACTTAGAGAGGTGTTCCTGACTGTGTGGAGTATATTGACATAGAGAGGTGTACCTTACTGTGACGTGTATATTAACTGAGAGAGGTGTTCCTGACTGTGTGGAGTATATTGACATAGAGAGGCGTATCTGACTGTGACGAGTATATTGACTTAGAGAGGTGTTTCTGACTGTGACGAGTATATTGACATAGAGTGGTGTACCTGACTGTGACAAGTATATTGACATAGAGATGTGTACCTGACTGTGACAAGTATATTGACATAGAGAGGTGTATCTGACTGTGACGTGTATATTTACTTAGAGAGGTGTTCCTGACTGTGTGGAGTATATTGACATAGATAGGTGCTCCTGACTGGGACGTGTATATTGACATAGAGAGGTGTACCTTACTGTGACGAGTATATTGACATAGAGAGGTGTACCTGACTGTGACAAGTATATTGACAAAGAGAGGTGTATCTGACTGTGACGTGTATATTTACTTAGAGAGGTGTTCCTGACTGTGTGGAGTATACTGACATAGAGAGGTGTACCTGACTGTGAGGTGTATATTGACATAGAGAGGTTTTTCTGACTGTGACGTGTATATTGACATGGAGAGGTGTACCTGGCTGTGACGTGTATCTTGATATAGAGCGATATACCTTGGTGTGACGTATATCTTGACATAGAGAGGTATACCTTGATGTTGCGTGTATATTGACATAGAGAGGTATAGCTGGCTGTAACGTGTATATTGACATAGAGAGGTATACCTTGGTGTGGCGTGTATATTGACATAGAGAGGTGTACCTTGGTGTAACGTGTATATTGACATAGGGAGATGTCCCTTGCTGTGACGTGTATATTGATATAGAGAGGTGTATACTGTATCACTGCAGAGCCAACCTGCTGGACTACGATATAGCTCTCAACCTCACCCGTTACCTCAAGAGCGAACTCAGTTACGTTCCCTGGCAGGCGTTTGTGGACTCCATTGAGGTCCTGCGAGGCATGATAGCGACCAAGGAAGCGTATGTATACCTGCAGGTGAGTGACCCTACACTGATGCGGGTACGCAAAGGCAGTCTTTTTTGTATTGGTCAAATTAACGTATCTTCCAAATCTCTGATTCAAGGCGTGAGTGTTATGTACGTAAACTTGCTTACACTGATGCTGCGTCCTGTGTACACCTGTATCCATCTGTTGTGCAGCAATATCTGCGGGATCTCGTCGCCCCTGTGTACAACACGGCTACCTACGTCAAGGGAACACTGCCGGACAAGTGAGTCATTTTCTATTCCAATTTCGCCCCGTGGATTTCCGTTTGGTCGCGTGAACAGTGGCAGATTTTTGTTGAGGAGAATACTCAAGGCCTCTCAATTCCTTCTAAAAACACTTACTGCACCAGTCATTTCACAAGAATGAAGACTTATGCGGACAATGCCCAAATGAAAAATATCCTCCACAATATTTAAGGATTTTTCAAAACACCGTTTTGTGTAACGTATTTGAAACATAAACACACCTCTTATCAATCATAATAGTTTATAATGTTAGTCTCCCACGTGTGGTTCATGCAGAATGAATATTGTGGAACACATAACACACATGGTATAAGATTCTGAGCCATACAGATTATACAAATGTTCATACTACGAGCAACAGTTAAGTTGCTAGTATGAATTTGCACGCGTTTAATTATGCGCAGCGCCCAACAGGTGCTATCATTTTCAGGCAATATGGTTCTGAACCAAAAAATACGCTAATTTGCACGAATACATCAACTGAGCTGAGTGAATATCGACTGAAAAAATGCATACTTCAAACGCGCCTTTCCTGAAATACACTCAGGAATATGAACTGAGGCATTTGGTGTGTATGTGATGTCTTCTAACCCCACTCGACCTCTGATGACGTCATATTGATAATTTATGCAGTGCTGTATTTTCTTCTGTGACGTGGTCACGTGTTGCAGGTACCTCCACCGCATCATTCTTGGCATGGCGTGTGACGTGGGCGTGGAGAACGCTGTCAGTTATGCCAAGTCTACATTCAATGCCTGGAAGAAGTACAACACCATGTGAGTTCACGCATATTGTTACACAGTGATTTCCATATTCGTGATTCCCAGAAGTTAATGTGTACAGTAAATGACCACACAAGATCAATGAATAGTCAATACATGTTACTGAAACACACAGGCAATGCAATGAGTCAACAAAACGGCAGCAACAATAAATAACAGACGTAAGTGCACTCATGAATGTCCAGAATATTGTCACTGTCAATGTTTACAGACAGGCCTGTCTCCGTTCTTGAATCCAGAATAGAGTTGGAATTTGGCAGGAACTAGGTATTTTCAGATAGATAAGCAATCCGCACTTATCAAGACACATCTCAGGTCGAAAAAAGGCCTCGGAGGTGTTGTTGCCTAGGTTGTGTTTGTCACCTACTATGTCCAATGTCTGTTGACCAGGTGTGATGTGTTATTTGTTCTCTGTGTCGCTGCATTAAGGCGGCGTGTGTTGTCTGTTGGTGTCTGTTGTTCATTCGGATTTTGTTGTGCCCAGCCTCGCTTCCGACGTGTCCGTACTCATCTACTCCGTTGGGATCCGTGAGGGCGGGACGGACGAGTGGGACTTCGTGTGGGAGAAGGCTCAGTCCACGTCAGTGGCGTCAGAGAAGGAGATGATGATGGAGGCCCTGGCACAGACACAGAAACCATGGCTGCTCTGGAGGTGCGTTACTAGGGTGTGAGTGAATGTAAATGACCGCCGCAGTCAGCAGTATTCTAGCTATATCAAATTGGCTTGTAAGTAATGGATTGATGCAATGAGCAACGTCCCACGTACGCAAGTACGAAATTAGCCAAGTAATCAATAGTCCAGCCATAGTGGTGTATGCTAGGATTCAGTTTAATTTCCTCTGGTCGTGTTGTAATAACCACCTTTGGCCATGGAGCGAAGGAATAACCAGCAATGGTCCTGTACTAAGAGAGGTTTTACAATTACACGCCATGGTCCTGTTGTAAGAGAGGTTTTACAATTACACGCCATGGTCGTGTTGTAAGAGAGGTTTTACAATAACCAGCAATGGTCCTGTTGTAAGAGAGGTTTTACAATTACACGCCATGGTCCTGTTGTAAGAGAGGTTTACAATAACCAGCAATGGTCGTGTTGTAAAAGAGGTTTACAATAACCAGCAATGGTCGTGTAGTAAGAGAGGGTTTTACAATAACCAGCTATGGTCGTGTTGTAAGAGAGGGTTTTACAATAACCAGCTATGATCGTGTAGTAAGAGACGTTTCACAATAACCAGCAATGGTCCTGGTGTAAGAGAGGTTTTACAATAACCAGCAATGGTCCTGTTGTAAGATTGGTTTCACAACAACCAGCACTGGTCCTGTTGTAAGATAGGTTTTACAATAACAAGCAATGGTCCTGTTGTAAGAGAGGTTTTACAATAACCAGCAATGGTCCTGTTGTAAGAGAGGTTTAAAAACAACCAGCACTGGTCCTGTTGTAAGATAGGTTTTATAATAACCAGCACTGGTCCTGTTGTAAGAGAGGTTTTACAATAACCAGCAATGGTCCTGTTGTAAGAGAGGTTTCACAATAACCAGCAATGGTCCTGTTGTAAGAGAGGTTTTACAATAACCAGCAATGGTCCTGTTGTAAGAGAGGTTTTACAATAACCAGCAATGATGGTGTAGTAAGAGAGGTTTTACAATAACCAGCAATGGTCCTGTTGTAAGAGAGGTTTCACAATAACCAGCAATGGTCCTGTTGTAAGAGAGGTTTTACAATAACCAGCAATGGTCCTGTTGTAAGAGAGGTTTTACAATAACCAGCAATGATGGTGTAGTAAGAGAGGTTTTACAATAACCAGCAATAACTCTGTTGTAAGAGAGGTTATTCAATAACCTGGAATGGTCCTGTTGTAAGAGAGGTTTTAGAATAACCAGCAATGGTCCTGTTGTAAGAGAGGTTTTACAATAACCAGCAATGGTCCTGTTGTAAGAGAGGTTTTACAATAACCAGCAATGGTCCTGTTGTAAGAGAGGTTTTACAATAACCAGCAATGGTCCTGTTGTAAGAGAGGTTTAAAAAAACAGCAATGATCTTGTAGTAAGAGAGGTTTTACAATAACCAGCAATGGTCCTGTTGTAAGAGAGGTTTTACAATAACAGCAATGATGGTGTAGTAAGAGAGGTTTTACAATAACAGCAATGGTGGTGTAGTAAGAGTGGTTTTACAATAACCAGCAATGGTCCTGTAGTAAGAGAGGTTTTACAATAACCATCTATGGTCGTGCAGTTCGAAATATTTTACAATAACAGGCTGTGGCCGTGTGTAAGAGAGGTTTCATAATAAACAGCTGTTGTCGTTTTTCAACAGGTACGCTAACTGGGTGTTTGATCCGAACAAGATCAAGAAGCAGGACGTCCGCGTGGTGATGAGCTACTTCACAAAGACCCCACTTGCTCGCTCCGTAGCGCTGCAGTTCTTCATGACCAGATGGAAGGACCTTGTCAGCAGGTAGGAAGCCACTGTCTTGTAGGACATGACCAGATGGAAAGACCTTGTCAGCAGGTTGGAGGCCACTGTCTTATAGCACATGGCCAGATAGAAGGACCTTGTCAGCAGGTAGGAAGCCACTGTCTTATAGCACATGACCTGATGTAAGGACCTTGTAAGCAGGTAGAAAGCCACTGTCTTGTAGCACATGGCCAGATAGAAGGACCTTGTCAGCAGGTAGGAAGCCACTGTCTTATAGCACATGGCCAGATAGAAGGACCTTGTCAGCAGGTAGGAAGCCAATGTCTTATAGCACATGGCCAGATAGAAGGACCTTGTCAGCAGGTAGGAAGCAACTGTCTTATAGCACATGGCCAGATAGAAAGACCTTGTCAGCAGGTAGGAAGCCAATGTCTTATAGCACATGGCCAGATAGAAGGACCTTGTCAGCAGGTAGGAAGCTAGTGTCTTGCTGCACATGGCCAGATAGAAAGGCCTTGTCAGCAGGTAGGAAGCTAGTGTCTTGCTGCACATGACCAGATGGAAGGACCTAGTCAGCAGATACGAAGCCGTTGTCTTATAGCACATGACCAGATGGAAGGACCTTGTCAGCAGGTAGGAGGCCACTGTCTTGTAGCACATGGCCAGATGGAAGGACCTTGTCAGCAGGTAGGAAGCCACTGTCTTGTTGCACATGGCCAGATGGAAGGACCTTGTCAGCAGGTAGGAAGCCGTTGTCTTGTAGCACATGGCCAGATGGAAGGACCTTGTCAGCAGGTAGGAAGCCACTGTCTTGTAGCACATGGCCAGATGGAAGGACCTTGTCAGCAGGTAGGAAGCCGTTGTCTTGTAGCACATGGCAAGATGGAAGGACCTTGTCAGCAGGTAGGAAGCCACTGTCTTGTAGCACATGGCCAGATGGAAGGACCTTGTCAGCAGGTAGGAAGCCGTTGTCTTGTAGCACATGGCCAGATGGAAGGACCTTGTCAGCAGGTAGGAAGCCACTGTCTTGTAGCACATGGCCAGATGGAAGGACCTTGTCAGCAGGTAGGAAGCCGTTGTCTTGTAGCACATGGCCAGATGGAAGGACCTTGTCAGCAGGTAGGAAGCCGTTGTCTTGTAGCACATGGCCAGATGGAAGGACCCTTTCAGCAGGTGGGAAGCCGTTGTCTTGTAGCACTTTTGGAGATTCAGGGACACATGCCTGCTGGAATTGGGCTTCATAGTCAGCATACACCTCAAAGAACATTATCAAGAGACTTATCTTTCTATTAATTCATACAATTAACATATAGGGGTTATAAAGAATTTTAAGATCAACAGTATTCAAGTCAACTTGAAACGATTGTGTTTTTTACATGTAAAGTTTTAGTCATAACATATGTTTTTACAATCACATCACAATCTCAAACTATAAAACACATTATGCACACCATAAACATATCATGAATCTTCAGAGAATCAACATTACTCACTGTTCAAGTAATGAAGTGTTTCTTTGGAAACATCGATGCATCATCATGCCCTATGCCTGACACGAAATGTTTTGAGCATACTTCCATATGCTTGGTCCCTGGGATGTCTTTTCTCTCTAACTGACATGAAGGAATACTACCCTTCCACCGACTATCTCTTCCCTAAAATTGCTTCAAATACAGCAGTACCGCTTCCATTTGGACAGCTTTGAAGCAGCGCGCTGTTTTCGGAGGAAGTTGACGGTACTCGGCGGAAGTTCTTCCAACCAATTGAAGAATTCCGGGTAACTCTAATTGGGTCGACTTGTCAGAAAGTCGAATGGATTGATTACTAACTCCTTTCAAACCGTCTTTATCTATGACAATGTGATACAACTCAGTTTATATGATGCCCTGTTTCTTGTTACAGATTTGGCCACGATCCGTTTATATTGCCCGAAGTGATCCCGACTGTGACGTCGTATGTTAACTCTGAGTTCCATCTACGTCAGGTAAACTGCCTTGAGCCCCTCCCTACCGCCATCATGTTACCTCTCATGCCATAAAGGTCCCGTATCATGAACATGAGCAACTATGGGTATATTCCAGACACGTGGCCGGTACACGGACCCTTTTGTCACATACAGGCACTTCGGGTTTGGTATCAAGGTTAAAAGGTTTAAACCAAGATTGCTTATTGCTAGTATCACGTGTGAGCCACCGCTGTCTGTTGTTTGTTTCACGTCTGTTTCTTGTACCACGTGTCCGCCATGATTGTCTGGAGGTATCACATGTGAGAGGCGTGGCTGTCTATTGCTGGAAGACTGCCTGCATGTTCTGGTGGTAGAGCGTCTGCCCGGAGAGCGGAAGGTCGGGTGTTATATTTCCGGCTGCGTCATACCAAAAGACGTTAAAAGATGGTCCTTGTTGTTACCCTGCCTGGCGCTCGGCATTAAGGGGTTAAAACAAGGATTGGTCGGCTGAGAGTACATATACTATATCTGAGTCGAGTATTTGTGTTTAACTACGGATTTGTATCTGGCATGACACCGGACAAATACAAGCAGCCACATACACACACACGAGCGTCGCTATATAAGTGCAATTATCTTTACCGAGACGTAAAACCACATTTCGCCTCACCTATTGCTGGTATCATATGAGACCGTCGTAGCGCTGAGATGCGTTCAGTGGCCCTGGGACGGTGACAAGGGTGGCCGACATGTCATCACATCTAGGCAGACAGTATGCGCGAAAAGGGCGTCATATAGAAAATCTGAATACTTGAACCTTATTAGTGAAACGCCGTGTGCTCAATAAGCCCTACCCTACTGGTGAAATACTGCTGCAAATGATGTAAGGCTAACCCCACTCTTTGTCTTGTAGTTGGAGACTATTTTCAAAGAAACCCCACCTAAAACAGCATCTAAAGCCGCGGAGAATGCCCTGGCACTAACGAGGTGAGTGAGTCCTCAGCACAAGTATAGTGTACGTGAGAGATGTAACACCGGTCAGCAGCGTATTGCCTTCAGAAATGTTCACACGAGAGGTCATCTCGTTTTCCTGTTGGGCGCTTGGACGAATGTCACAGTTACTTTTTAATGTTTATTCAGACAGCGCTCTGGTTTTATTAGGAATCCACTGAGACCAATTCTAATTTTGAGATCCATTCTATTATTTTCAATGTACCCCGATTAATTTCTTATGTTTTTCACTCAAATTGCCGAACTGTTCGCAATACATTAGAAAAAATCCCGCATTTTCCCATCTCGAATTAATGATACGATTCTCCTCAAATTTTACAAATGATATAGATCTAAGGTGAAAAATCTTAACTTTGTTTTCTGTCGTCTGCTATAATACCCAACTGTGGTATTCTTACCGATTGGACCAAAGTATGCGTGTATGAGGCCTGCAATATAATTAGGTGTACAGTGAGCTACATTTGCTGTCCACCGGTCCCTCGGGTGACGTGGGGTGATAACCCTCTGTTAGTGTAAGTTCCCCTCGCTTAAGGGCGTACAGCAACACGAAGCCGATGGACAACTTACATTGTGCGCAGTACTGACCCATGCCACGACAGCGTCTTCTCATGTGTGGTGAGATGCTGATGTTGGTGTACGCTGTTCTGTAGACCGTTACACGTCTATTCCTGTCTTCTTTCAGATCCAATATTAAATGGATGGAGACGTACTATGAGAAGATTGCTGTTTGGCTGAAGGACAACGTGACGTAGTAGTCACGTGACAGGGCGCAGCCTCGTGAGGCGTGATCTGCTCCCGGGGTTTCTATATATGATGTGGATGTTGATCATGTGTTGGTATTTCTCTGTATTGTAGCGATGGGCCATTGTCCGACTTGTCTTACTCTCCATTGTTGTCATTCTTTATCATTCTCAAATAAATCGTTTATCTCTTACTATGCTCCAATCTCGTTTGCCTGGGTTTGTGTTTGGCCACGGAATGTGTGTAGAACTGTCCTGTGCTGTGAGGGTGGGTTGCCGCAGGTCCAACCCTGGGCCCCGTGAGGCTGAACTTGTGACTTAGTAGTCGCTAGTGACTCGGGAGACAATAGGACAATTGATACATATTCGACTTGGCATATACGGAGAAAGAGGATGCAGTTACTGAGTTCACAGTAGGGAGATGTGTGTATAAACTTGGGGGACAATGTGAACCCTAACAAGGACACTTGGGGTGGGGCTAAAAGCAGTTAAGGATCTATCAAGTAATAAAACATACTTCATATCGTTTCATTGTCAGCTACCGTTTCCAGTACGCGAGAAATACCACAAGTCAACACCAGCAACACCGTTCTGAGCACAAAGCTTTTAGAAAGCTGTCGGGATGCGAACCTGCAACCTCCTAATGTGTAGCACCTGTACCAAGGTGACTTGCAACCTCCTGATGTGTAGCACCTGTACCAAGGAGACCTGAGACCACCTAATGTGTAGCACCTGTACCAAGGAGACCTGCAACCTCCTGATGTGTAGCACCTGTACCAAGGAGACCTGCAACCTCCTGATGTGTAGCACCTGTACCAAGGAGACCTGCAACCTCCTGATGTGTAGCACCTGTACCAAGGAGACCTGTAACCTCCTGATGTGTAGCACCTGTACCAAGGAGACTTGCAACCTCCTGATGTGTAGCACCTGTACCAAGGAGACCTGCAACCTCCTGATGTGTAGCACCTGTACCAAGGAGACCTGCAACCTCCTAATGTGTAGCACCTGTACCAAGGAGACCTGCAACCTCCTGATGTGTAGCACCTGTACCAAGGAGACCTGCAACCTCCTGATGTGTAGCACCTGTACCAAGGAGACCTGCAACCTCCTGATGTGTAGCACCTGTACCAAGGAGACTTGCGACGTCCCAAATGTCAACTTCCCTTGTCGGCATTAACCGAGTTTGCTTAAGTTGTCCATTTGTACGGTATATGTCCTGTTGGTATATCCGTTATGCAAGTACCTGTGAATCTGGTTTGCCCATCTAATTTCAATATACACCATTTCCATATTTGACTAAATATCCAACGATATGCACTTTATTTAAATTCTAAAAATGATTAGATTAGTAGGATAATACACAGTGATATGCATTCTCTCGTAAATAAGTTGTAACGCGTTTAAAGTTTTACACAATATAGGGCGTGTGTTTAGGTGGTGTTTACTGTGAAACGATTACTAATTTCATGTATTTAGACACTAAACGTGTTAGTTAGAACATAAGTGTATTTTTTTACGGTTTAAACACATCCTTTAACATGTTTAGATCTAAACATATATTGCATGTATTTACATTCTAAACACATGTTTTACAATTTTGTGGACACAGACATATGATTAAATAAACAATACGAGACACCGTCAGTAGATAGTAGGAAACACGTCCGTAGATAGTAGGAAACACACGTCAGTAGACAGTAGGAAACACGTCCGTATATAGTAGGAAACACCGTCAGTAGACAGTAGGAAACACGTCCGTAGATAGTAGGAAACACGTCCGTAGATAGTAGGAAACACACGTCAGTAGACAGTAGGAAACACGCGTTTATATGAATATGGTTCACCCGTTTAATTATTTATGCCATGTGTTGTTTTATTTGTTGCTTAACGCCGCACTCAGCAATTTTCCAGCTACATGACGTCGGTCTGCCAATAAGCAGCCAGGTTGACATCATGAGCATCGATCCACTCAATTGGGATACGACGACATGCATCAACGAGGTCAGCGAGCCTGAACACCCGATCCCGTTAGTCGCCTCTAACAAGCATGGTTTGCAGAGTACCAATAATTGTAACTCGGATGTTCACGGGTCTAATGCCATGTACAATAGTTCAAGCTCTTACTACCTACAACGCACTTTGCCAACAGTGCAGTTCTTTCTTGCAATGTAGTTAGTTTTTGATGCACTGCGGACAGTGTAGTTAGTTTCTAATGCACTGCGGCCAGTATATAATTAGTTTCTGATGCACTGCGGCCAGTGGAGTTACTTTCTGATGCAGTGCGGCCAGTATAGTTAGTTTCTGATGCACTGCGGCCAGTATAGTTAGATTCTGATACACTGCGGCCAGTATAGTTAGTTTCTGATGCACTGCGAACAGTGTAGTTAGTTTCTGATGCACTGCGGCCAGTATATTTAGTTTCTGATGCACTGCGGCCAGTATAGTTAGTTTCTGATGCACTGCGGACAGTGTAGTTAGTTTCTGATGCACTGCGGCCAGTATAGTTAGTTTCTGATGCACTGCGGCCAGTATATTTAGTTTCTGATGCACTGCGGCCAGTATAGTTAGTTTCTGATGCACTGCGGCCAGTATAGTTAGTTTCTGATGCCCTGCGGCCAGTATAGTTAGTTTCTGATGCACTGCGGCCAGTATAGTTAGTTTCTGATGCACTGCGGCCAGTATAGTTAGTTTCTGATGCACTGCGGATATTATAGTTAGTTTCTGATGCACTGCGGCCAGTGGAGTTACTTTCTGATGCACTTCGGATACAATATAGTTAGTTTCGGTCGACTTCGCCTACAATACAGTTATTTTCTGATGCACCTCATCTACAATACAGTTATTATCTGATGCACGTCGGCTACAGTAATAGCACGTTGTACACATATGCTCGCATTGGCAAGTAGATAACAATGGTTAAAATATGAAATGTACTGAATACATGTATATATCGTCGGATCATATGTTTTCGAACGGTTATGTTTATCGCGAGTACTCCCGCTATAACGAGGTTGTAGTGTCACACAGACATTGTAGATACTCAGATGGTGGTTGGACGTTCAGATAAAGTTGTGTGAGATGTGTTACAGTTATTCTTGTGCTTAGCGCGAAAACTACGAATGTTCCTTAAGCGTCCGAAAACCTATAAAAACGGGGATATATTTCTTCTCAAGATGTATACAGAGAATACATTTCACTTCATGTTCATCTCTTTAGATGGTATATAACCTCTCCTTAGGTGTGAACATTCCGAGTTATCCCGTTTATAGGAACACCCCGAATTGTATGAAACAGTTATACGTCTCTGATGATAGATACTATGACATTTACAGCTTGCCAAATAATGACAAACCAAACACCGACCCATGGATATCACTGATAACTTGCCGACATCAGAACCTTGCATTATGAACTACGAGTTGCAGCGACAGCAACTGACCAATCTGTGCCACGATACTGGTGATGATAACACCAGCTACTCTTCAACGCAATTTCTTTTTCGTAAATTTCCCGTGGAGCCTCCGCAGAAGCTACGTGGGATTTTTATTTATTTCTGCGTCGCCACGCAGGGACACAGCAAAATACTTGTAACGGAGGATATGTATACAATGTTTGCATAGCTACGAAACCACTACACAGAGCCATACCGGCAAGTCTAATTGCAACTTTTTTGTGACAGAATAGTTATATAATCCCTGTAACTGTGCATTCTGTGTTTTCTACTTCCTTACTGCATGTGTGTCAGCCAGAGTGAAAACCTTATCGTTTCACCTTTCTTAATGGTTTACACAATCAAGACTGCTGCAGAAGCGTACATCCCATATCTCCGCACACAGCAAACATTAGTAGTTCCGTAATGTCACATTTCACTGCTCTATTCAGCACAGTGTATATCATACGGAGACATGTGTTCCCTATACAGCAGCACCGTGGTCCATTGTCGACCTCATTATAATTATACGCATTAGGACTGCGGGGACATAAAAAGAGATTCGTTCTTGCTTATCAAGTCATGTAACTGCGTCTTTGTGCCTAGTACATCTGCAATTAATGTAAATGTGTCATAACCACAAACATATATATACAGACAGAAATCTTTATTGACTTATGCCACAAATAGGCCGTTGCATGTAGACAAGGATGTTTCTCTGCATGTGGAAAAGGATGTTTCTCTGCATCTGGACAAGGATGTGTCTCTGCACGTAGACAAGGATATTTCTCTGCATGTAGGCAAGTATGTATCTCTGCATGTAGGGAAGGATGTTTCTCTGCATGTAGGGAAGGATGTTTCTCTGCATGTAAGCATTCTCTCCATGTAGACAAGGATGTTTCTCTCCATGTAGGCAAGGATCTTTCTCTCCATGTAGGCAAGGATGTTTCTCTGCAAGTAGACAAGGATCTTTCGCTACATGTTGGCAAGGATGTATCACTGCATGCAGAAAAAGATGTTTCTCTCCGTGTAGGCAAGTATGTATCACTGCATGTAGGCAAGGATGTCTCTCTGCATGTAGGCAGGGATGTCTCTCTGCAAGTAGACAAGGATGTTTCTCTACATGTAGCCAAGGATGTCTCTCTGCAAGTAGACAAGGATGTTTCTCTCCATGTAGACAAGGATGTTTCTCTCCATGTAGACAAGGATGTCTCTCTGCATACAGACAATTATGTTTCTCTCCATGTAGGCAAGTATGTATCACTGCATGTAGACAAGGATGTTTCTCCCCATGTAGACAAGGATGTTTCTCTCCATGTAGACAAGGATGTCTTTCTGCATGTAGACAAGGATCTTTCTCTACATGTTGGCCAGGATGTATCACTGCATGTAGACAAGGATCTTTCTCTACATGTTGGCAAGGATGTATCACTGCATGTAGACAAGAATGTTTCTCTCCGTGTAAGCAAGTATGTCTCTCTGCATGTAGACACGGATGTTTCTCTGCAAGTAGACAAGGATGTTTCTCTCCATGTTGGCAAGGATGTTTCTCTGCATGTAGTCAAAGATGTTCTTCTGCATGTAGATAATGATGTTTCTCTCCATGTAGGCAAGGATGTGTCTCTCCGTGTAGGGAAGTATGTATCACTGCATGTAGACAAGGATGTTTCTCTGCAAGTAGACAAGGGTGTTTCTCACCGTATAGACAAGGATGTTTCTCTCCATGTGGACAAGGAAGTTTCTCTGCATATAGACAAGGATGTTCTTCTGCA